AATCAAATCCAATTTCATAAATAATACTATTCATATGAATAAGAAAAGACACCTCTAATGGCCTAAACTTGATGGTAATAAGGTGGCACATGAATAATGCAGCATAGGATGCTACCGCACAGAAAATGTCCAATTGTAAACAGAAAATTAGACAAATGTATAATACAGTTAGCATTAGCAATATACGTACGTACGTAGTAATATAGTAATATGAGTTGTTGAATATTTTACTCACTTTTGTTCAGTTTAATGGTCTGAAATTGTTCCCCTGCCTTCTTCTGTACATTTGTCGATTTCCAGAGCTTGCATGTAATATTCCATATGAACTACTCCGTATATCTTATTAGTCAGCTGTTATACAAAATTAGCCAACGTGTAACAAGCTAGCAACACTATATTAGTATATTACGGTGTATTAATTAAGCTTTATTCCCTCTCAATTATGTTGATTAGCTGATTCATGACTCTAAGAAGGCCAGTCTCCGACCAAACTCGGGAAAATAAGTTGGAGTTTATGTATTAATCGTAAAATGTAATCATTCAAATAGCCTATGATGTTCTTGGTAAGGAAATTTGGAAAAGTCAATTACAAACCTTTAAAGTGTATGAATAGAACTTTTCTTAGACATCTTAAATTAATAAAAGTAGTCATTGTTTACGACATATATATCATCAATGTGACTACTAAATCCAAATAACGGGAGCATGCCCTATATGAAAACGAAGAAAAAAGTAAGCAGGAACAGACAAATCCATAATAAGATTATGGTCATCTATTTACGTGATCAACAACTCAGGCCAGGTACTAAAATAAGAGTTGAACCCTCATGAAAGTCATGTTGGAATTTTGGCTTATAGTGTCGGTGGAAGGTGAATAATACAAAGTACGTACTAGATTCATAGTGGGGTGAATCAGGCAATCTTTTCTACAAGTAATATAGCCTATATAGTCCCAATATGAGATGTTTCAGTAGAGGGCTGAAGCTACACCCTCTAATGTCCCAATATAGGAGTTGATTTTTTTTTTTTTTATTATTATTATTTTAATTTTATTGTTATTTTATACGAAGTACCTCGTAGTAAAGTAACTAGAAAGAAAGTATTATGGTTGACAAGTACATTGTACAAGAGATATAATCTTGGTTTATGTAGTCGGTTTCATTTTTAGAATTAGTTCTTTGATTATTATCGTTGTAATACAGAACATTTTTTTATACTTCGTATATTGAATATTTCTTAGTATTGTAGTCGTATGTAGAAGATATGAAGTGTGGCAAATGTTGGTTGCATGGTTACAAAGTAAGGTTTATGATACTTGACGTGTTAATATAAATTAATTGGTGGTGTTTACTACGATTACTAGCATGTCTTTTATTTGTCAAGCTTATAACCAATAATGCGTAAGACACAATCATGGAACATTATCACAACATTACATTTTTTTAAGATTTTGGACTATCATTTTTTCTTCGACAGATGGAGAAGTACGGGGCATGTTTCACAACTTTAATAAAACAAAACTTGATCAAAAGGAGTAAGAATAGGTGCTGCATGGAAATTCACATTGAAAAAGTTTGACAAAAATTGAAAATTTTATTTCCCTTTTTTCTTTCCAATTTTTGGAGGTATAAATCAGCATCAAAGATGAATGTTAATTGTGATAAGTACGTGTTACCGTGTCAGTAAATTATCGATCATCTAAACACATATCAATAGTATAAAATCTCAACTTCAAACAATTTACAGGGCGTTTAAACAATACTTAATCAACCCCCTTGTCCATTAATGGTACACAACAGACGTTGGTCAGGGCATAAAAATCCTATCACATGTCTAACACGACACACTTTATGAATCGACATCTAACAAGTTTTAGATCCAACTTAAAGTCCCTCTGTTTACAAATAGTTAGAACCAAATGCAAGAAAATAAAAAGAGGAAAAAGAAAAAATAACATAAAGAACAATGCTTCACTATAAGAAGTTAAGAGGCCAAAGGAGGAGCCAAGGGACATATTGTAATAGTAATATATTGAGACACTCATACATAATACTTAATACTCCTTGCATTTGGGATATTGAGTATGATAAATTTGTTACTACTTACTACTAAACTAAATTTCCTAAAACACTATTTACATATTATCACCACTCACCAGCTCTTGTTCATCCAATTTATTTATCATTTTTATTTTTATTTTTTTGACAACCAAATTGTTCATCCAATTTTTTATTTATTTATTTTCTGACAACCAAATTGTTCATCTATTAAATCCTGGAAATTTTGACAGTTGACTTTCAATTGTACAAGATTATTGATATCTATTTATATCTGAAACAATTAAGGATTGATAGCCTGTAAGGTAATTTCTACATAAAATGCCTCCTAACTGTCAAACTTTATTTATTATATAAAACAGAAAAAGAATTAATGGAAGTGTACTGCAATTATATATGTACAGCAATGTAAAATAGAAGTTCAGAGCCTGCTAAAAAATAATCATGAAAAGGCAGAAATTGGTTTTGACATGCCACTATTATTAGTGATGGACATAAAATCTCTACCACTTCTAATGTTGCTCTTTGGGGCTTCAGAATTACTACTTAACATGCCACTATCACCCATTAATAATGTACTAATCATGAAAACCACCCATTTTAGTTAATTATGATGATAATCCAATTTCGGTTTTTGTAATAGATTTTTTCAAGTTTGGCTAGAAGGCAAGTAATTGACCCTAACTTAGGTGTTGTTTGGTTGACATGGGAAATGAGTTTCCATAGAAAATTATACTTCATTAAGTTTGTTTGGTTTGATGATATAGGAACTTTGATTTCCTAGGCATTTATTTCCTATGTTTTATTAGTTAATTTGATAATTTTTTATCTAAGGTAACAAATTTGGAGAGAGAAAGAAAGATTAAATTATTAGTGATAATAATGCAAGTATGCCCCACAATAATCATGGAAATTGTGACTTACGGGGGGCTTGGTAAGTGAATTCCCATATTTCATGGGAATTGAAACTTCCCTTGAAATTTTCATTTTCCCCACTTTGATAATTTGTGCCAACTAAACAACACATGTTATATCCATTTCCTAGGAAATAGAATTTCCCATGCTTTTTACCTCTAACCAAACAACACCTTAGATACTAAGAGATTAGACTCAATAATAATCCTTATTGGTAATGAACATCTAATAGAAACTCCTTTACTAGTGGCATGTGCGTAATGTAAATGACCTCAACTCATTATAAAAACCGTAACAAAATTATACAGTATGTATACATGCATATACGAAGTAGTATTTTATATCAAAGGCCTGATTTCCACCCGTTGAAAAGATCCGACCTATGTTCATATTTGGGAAGTAATTCGAACTATTTCTATACCTAAAGGACAAATTAAGCACAGATACAAAAGCTTAAGAAATCCCCCAAAAACAAAGTTGGAACTTGTACATTTATATGAGTATATGATCACTATTCTTTCATCCTTGATTGAGAGTTTATATAAATTAATATTCCTTCATCTGAATGGCAAATAGTTAAACAACTCTTATATGCGGACTCCGTACTACCTAAACAGTTCATATTCTGTAACTTCTATTTATGGACGGAGGAAGTAAAAGATGATTTTATCTAGCTCTAGGATGACACATTCCGATATGAGAAAAAGTGTAATACTCCTAACAGTGTAACAGGTAAAGCTACAAGTAGATTAAAATATCTACCTTCATTAATAGATTAGTTAAGCAAAAACAAGTAAAAAGATAGGTGGAACTTGTACATTTATGTCCACAAATGGGATCACTATTCTTTCATCCTTGGTTAAATGTTCCTTTATCTCATAATGACAACTTTTATAGACGGAGTATAAACATTCAAAAGAACTACTACCCAAATATGCATAACTTTTATTTATGAACGGAGGAAGTAAATTACGGAGTAAAAGATAATTTATCTAGCTCTAAAGCTTCAGTATGACACATTTCGAGAAAAGGTAATAACGGGTAAAGCTACAAGTAGATCATGTTAACCACCTTCATTAATAGATTAGTTAAGCTAAGAAAAACAAGTAAAAAGAATAAGTAGCAAACACTCATAATGAGCAACAACTTTCCAGATAAGCAAAGGAAAATTAAAACCCTGATCTAAAAACGGTCATTTGTAGGCTATTGTAGCTAGAAGTTGTATGATGAAAAGCAATAAAAAGCTTTAGAATGATTAAAGTTAGTCATACAAACACGCAATATTAAAAGAGTAAAGATTGCTTTTATTAAACGATTAAAAAAGAATTAAGGATTTTAAACCTAAAGGGTTGGAAAAGGATAGCATTGTCTTTACACTCTACTTTGGAATTGAACACTGAGCCTCACACTCACCCAAGTACCAACAACACCAACAAAAGTTAAAGATTAAAGCAAGAAATATGTACTGTACGTCTAAAGAAAGCATATTGTCACGGGTCATCTCCCACACCAAGGATGGGCGTCAAGAGGGTCACTAGGCAGCAAGGCAACAATCGGGGCTTGGGGGCTTGCCTTGGTGCTCAGGTAAGCACTTCCCCCTAAAGAGCTTTATATTGCACCTTGCTTAGAATCCTAGTGAACACCCACTTGACAGTAACACAATAATGGGTCGTTTGGAGACCCAAATGAAGTCCAAATGGGCCCAAATTTGGGGGTCCACCGTATTTTGGGCCAAGGAAGACGATGGTGGTGTCAGTTTTCCGAGACAAGGTCCCGAAATACGAGTTTTGGAAGCAGGTAGTCCGGAAAACGCGAGATGCTTCTAGAAGGTTCCGGAGCTATCTACAAGGTTCTTTTGAAGACTATTCTAGAGTGGATGACTCTAGAATAATCAAGGAAGGTCTGGTACATATTAGGAGTCTTTTAGGTCTCCCTATATATGTACATAACTCTTGTAAAGTTCTAAGAATGTTCTAGGTTAGTCCTTAGCATTCTAGGTAGGAAGTATGTAGAAACCTCCTTGTATGTATGTTCCTTTGGAGGTGGGAACACTCTAGATTGTTGTAGTCTAGAACCCTCCATTTGAGGAGGTTAGGAATTTTCTAGAGAAGCATGTAAGTAGGATGGAGCACTATAAATAGGCTCCAAGGCTCATTTGTACATTTAAGTTGGGAGATCAACAAGTTAAGAGCTATAAGTTGAGAGCAATACAAAAAGCCTTTCTTAAGCACTTGTGTTCTCTTGCAACTCAATCCTTTCCTTCCAACACCTAGAGAGTGTGAGGAAAACTAAGGCACGAGGGTGCCAAGTGAGTGATCGGGCATACCAGCAAGGGTGATAGCTTGGGTGCTCAATTGTCTACGACACTTAGTCGTAAATTCGGACTAAGGCACTAAGGGTGAGTGCTTAGTTCAACTAAAGGGGACTTGTTAGCATAAAGGGATCGTACTAGCAAACTTATACTAACAGCACAAGGAGTTGTGCTACGTGGGCACAAGGAGTTAGTGCCAAGGAGAAAGCCTGACTCGGCTTACGACGGACTGTAAGCGGGTGGCGCACGGTGCGTGACTAGGGCAAAGCAGTCGGCACGTGACAATATGCTCTTCATCTTGTCATACTGTCTTATGAGTCGATGACTTGGTGGTTCACTGGACCAGGCAGGGTATCAAATCAAAAGGCATAAATAATGTTCCAACATTGCACACCACCCTTTTTTTTCCTACAAAGACTTTGACAAATACGACTTTACCATTATACAATCAACGGTTTAGACGGGTCGTTTAGAGAATTGTCAAACGTCATCTATATTACATAACATTGATTGGTCTAGAGAAGGATCGATGCTACTCTCAATTTATGGACTAAAGGTCAATCAGAAACAACTTTCTTATGTACCAAAAAGATTTACTAACATACTCAGTACTCGAGTATTGAGATAATGTTAATGTTCACGTTGATCATGTCCTTTATTGTGCATAGAATGGCCCTGATTCTTTTGCTTTTTCAGCCATAAATTCATGGGCCTAATAATTGGAATTCATGTAAAGCCCTAAACCTCCCACATTGAATGGTATAAAAGCCTTTTCACCACCTGCGACAGTGTACTAACAACAGCTAGATCTCAAGCATTTAGCGTGGGAGAAGGAAGTAGGGTATCAATTTTGATTAGTACTCGTACTAATATTGACGTTTTGCTTTAGCACGTGGCCAAATTTCCTTTGTTCTTATTCTTTGATTTAATTTTCCCCTTACTTCTATAACTAGGGTCCAATATGACAGAGCTCAATCATGTTAGTGACAGTACATTGGAAGTTTTATACGGTGTATTACTAAAGCACAAAACTAACTATTTATGTTTAAACATAGAGAATTGTTTTAATATCTAAATTAGGATTATAAAACACACTCTTAACCTATATGCTACAGAGTACGACCTAAAGATAAACTGATATTCTACATGATTATAGTCACTTATACTATATTGGGAAGTTTTACTCAATTGAAGGGAAATCCCTCAAATAATTCCTATAAGATTTGATCCTAAACCACATGAGGTGGAAAGCAATATTACTACTCCAACACCACAACTTCATATTGGGAAATTCGATATGGATGGCCATTTTCATAGAATCATGGTTTATGACTGTTCGATTGATGGTAAAACATGATGATGAGGGTTATCTCATAATCAAAGGGAATGAATGAATCAGCAAAGGTCAAGGAAAAGTTTAGAAGCTCTAGGCATAAAAACAGGAGATTGCCGCCCCACTGAAAGTATACAAGGAATACTATGAAGAAGTGATCCCGAAGCATTTAATGACTAAAGAAAGAATAACTAAATGAGAAAAAAAAAAGAAAGAGACAAATTAGTTTTTTAAAGAATATTTTACACAGCAAGGACGAATAAACTTTATTTAATTTTCGATTTTAGCAGTTCTACCAACCAAGCAAAATTGCTTCTTTAAATATTTTAGCACTATCTTCTCACTATCTTCCTTTCATTGTAGAAAAACAAGAAAAAGAAACAAATTTAATAAAAAAAAAAAAAAAAAGTAGATTCTCTTCCTTTTTCCACTTGGCAGTAGATCTCTCTTTAGAACAGCAAATCAGCAATCCCACTAATCTACGCTAGATCAGTAACAAAAATCATGAAATGTTTAACTTTAAAAATTGAGGATGTGACATAAAGAGTAATATTAATGAAATTGATCCAAATTAAGTTTATAAAAAATGTGTTCCATAATACTTGACACATTTCCCATTTTCGTCCGTTTTATAATACTTAACACGTATTAAATATAAAATGAGACCACTAATAAAAAAATAGTTTCCTACATTTTCTTTCTCCTCACCTATCCCACTCCCACCCCACTTGTTGCTATCTTGTAATATAAAAATACAAAAAAGAATCTTTTATATAATAAACAAATGTTTTAAATAGACCTATTTGTAATTTTCTTAAACTACGTATCCAACCTAACGTCCCAAGTATTATAGGACGACCTTGGGACGGAAGGAGTAATCAATTTAGAAATCCAGTTTGGAGTACTCGTATTAAATAATGTGTCTACTTTTTTAGTTTTTTACTCTGTATGATTTAAAATAATACAAGTATACGAGTACATGATTATTACTCCGTATATTTTTAGACCGAGATTTAGATGCTTATTAATTTAAAAAAGAAAAGGAGAAAAAAAAAAGGGTTGCGGCTAAGTTGATGACATCATTTCACTTCAGTACAGAGTTCTGGGCATCCAGATCTTGCAGCCTAAAGAAGGTTCCCTCCACACACACTCTTTTCTCTTTCTCTCTCTCTCTTCTTTCTCCACAAACCGAGATTATTGGAAAGCCAAATAGCCAATGAATTTAGACATGAATTGGTGGGATAATATACACATAATAAAACAATCCTACCAAAATTCACAATGAAAAACCATTCTTTAAACTTGATATTGATCATTTCACTAACCTTATCTGTTGTAGCCAATGGTGAGAAATTAAGGAATGTTGAAGTCATCAGAAGAATCCTGCATCAACCATTGTTCCCAGAAAGCTCATCGCCTCCGCCTGGACTCGATGATTCGTCATCATTGGCACCACCTCCGCCTTTAGCTGATAATTCCGGGGACACGCCGGACCAACCCTTCTTCCCGGAGGTGCCAGCAGGGTCAACCCCAACTCAGAACCCACCACCTCCACCTCCTGTAGCGTCAAATGGGGTAAGTCCGATACCAACTGCAACACAGCCAGCTGCAAAACCTACCAAGAAAGTGGCAATTGCAGTCTCAGTGGTAATAGTAACATTAGGAATGCTATCAGCATTGGCATTCTTCTTGTATAAACACAGGGTGAAGAACCCTGTTGAGACTCAGAAGTTGGTTGGTGGTGGTGGCGGTGGCCGTGGTGTGAATAACTCGACGAGGCATACAGAAGAACCAAGAGTGCCCCCTTCAAATTTCCTGTATATAGGGACAGTAGAGCCTTCAAATCAGAGATCAGTACCAGTCAATGAGAATAACATAGCCAATGGATCACCTTACCATAAGCTGAATAATAGTAATAGTATTAATAATGATAGTTCAATGAAGAGGTCAGATCGATATAGGCCTAGTCCTGATTTGCAGCCATTGCCGCCGTTGAATAGAGCTCCTCCAAGGAGTGTGCCACAGAGGGGTTCCCCAACGGCTACTATGTCTTCTTCTGATGAGGACAGAAGTGATACTCTGTTTTATACTCCATACGGCTCAATTCATGGCTCGATTCATGGCTCGGTTGCTAGTGGTGATGATGGGTATTGGACTCAAGCTACACGTTCAAATAGTAGAACCAATGGTGGAAGTTCCTTCCCTCATTCTAGGAGGACTTCACCTAAATCAAGGGGTTTAGCTTCATCATCTCCTGATGTTATCAAGCATGCTATCATTCCATCCATTAAGGCCACTGCCCCACCTCCGCCCCCTCCACTACCACCCCCGCCACGAGCAGAGATGGAGTCAGATTATGAAAAGGAGTATGAGACTCAAGGAAAGGAGGAAACAAGGTCAAATATACCCAAGAGGGCTAAATTTGCTGCTCCTCCACCACCACCGAATTTAGCACTCCTCCGAAAATTCAGCAGTAGTAGTCCATTTCATCAGAATGCTAATCCACCACCTCCACCACCACCTCCTCCTCCGCCACCACCCCCTCCACCACCACCTGCTCCACGGGCACAATCACTGACACCGAAGAAAGTATCTAATAAGATGGAAAATGGGTCTACAGGGGCTTCTCAAGTTTCACCGAAGGCACAATTGGAAAGTCCTAACTCAAGAGATGGCCTAAGAAAAGAAACAATAAAAACAGGTGAAGAGCTTGATAATGGATGCAGTTCTACTGGAAGGCCTAATGGAGACGACTTAGATGAAAGAAGACCAAGGCTGAAGCCCTTGCATTGGGATAAAGTAAGGGCAACCTCGGATCGAGCTACCGTGTGGGACCAGCTGAAATCAAGCTCCTTTCAGTAAGGCCACAATATCCTTTTTTTGTGTATTGGTTCCAAAACATCTTATGACTCACTCCAAACTTTACAGCTTTCACCATCTTGCCAATTCATTGTAGGTTAAATGAGGATATGATGGAGAGTTTATTTGGCTGCAATACGGCCCCTACGACGGTTAAGAAAGAGACAGGTAGAAGATCAGTTCTCCCTCCAGTTGAGAAAGAGAACCGTGTTTTAGACCCAAAGAAGTCCCAGAACATTGCCATTTTATTAAGAGCATTGAATGTGACTCGGGATGAGGTTGCTGAAGCACTTATGGATGGTATGAATAACTCTTTTCTAAATAATCTCTGGGCTAATTCCATCCTGCCTTATTTCCAGACCTTAATTGTTTTTCTTGTTCTTACCCGTAGAATAAGTAGGTTAACTAGATCACATAGGTATCTTTCTGAGAAATTGGCAGTAACACATACATGATTGAGCCCTAATAGTCTGATAGAGTCATATAAAACTTCATCCCTTGATTACATTAGCTGAATCACGGAGATGAAGATATACGGGCCAGAATTTGTTGATACTCGCAGAAGTAGAAGAGCCTAATCTCAATAATCATGCTCATATAATTGAGATTCTTTCTAATTATGCCTAATGACAGTGCAAATAAGTGATCATATTCTTAGAAAATGCTAAGTATTTCAAGTCATAAATCCTATTTCCTAAGTCAACAAGTGAGCTTTGCAAATTGTTTACTGTCTCAAGTTCTCTACCTATATTGCTTAAATACTTCCCAAATGACACCAGCCATGTAATTCACAACATTAGGAGATGCATGAAATTGATTACGTGTATTTATGATATAGCTCAGGGAGGTTAAAATAAGGAACCTCCAGTATAATCCAATTAATGGGTGCATGATATACCCACCAAATACAATCACAGTTAATCACAGATGACTAAACCAAAAGAATTCCTGGCAATCCAATCCTTATAACATTAACTCTGTATTTCTTGGAGCAGGCAATTTAGAAGGCTTGGGTGCGGAGCTTTTTGAGACATTGGTCAAGATGGCACCTACGAAGGAAGAAGAAATAAAACTAAAAGACTACAATGGCGACATCTCAAAATTAGGTGCTGCTGAGAGATTTCTCAAGGGTATACTTGAGATACCATTTGCCTTCAAAAGAGTTGAAGCTATGATTTACAGAGCTAACTTTGACTCAGAAGTGAAGTACCTAACAAAGTCATTTGAAACCCTTGAGGTAAAGTGCCAGAAATTTCTACCCTCTAGTTTGACTCCTTTTTACAAATGCCCTAAGTAAATGACATGTTACAGGTAGCAAGTGATGAATTGAAAAGTAGCAGACTCTTCCTTAAACTCCTCGAAGCTGTTCTGCAAACAGGGAACAGAATGAATGCAGGAACAAATCGTGGAGATGTGAAGGCCTTTAAACTTGATACACTCCTAAAATTAGTAGACATCAAGGGAACAGATGGAAAGACCACATTGCTCCACTTTGTCGTCCAAGAAATCATAAAGTCTGTAGGCATTGGCTCTGATGTCAATCCTCAGACAGCTGATCAATTGAGCTCCACAAAGAAGGAAGAAGCGTTCAGGAAGCAAGGATTGCAGATTGTGTCAGGACTAAGTAGAGAGCTAGGAAGTGTTAAAGGTGCAGCTGGGATGGACTCAGATGTCCTAAGTAGCTATGTGTCAAAGCTAGAAATGGGGCTCCAAAAGATCAAGCTAGTATTGCAACTTGAAACACCAGATATGCAAGGGAAATTCTTCGAGTCAATGAAGAAGTTTCTTAAGGAATCCGAAGAACAAATTGCACGAGTCAAGGCTCACGAAAGGAGAGCATTGGCTCATGTCAGAGAAGTGACTCAATACTTCCACGGTGACACAGCAAAGGAAGAAGCACACCCATTCAGAATCTTTCTAATCGTGAGAGACTTCCTCGCCGTACTGGACAATGTGTGCAAGGAAGTTGGAACAATGGAAAGCAGAAGTGTAATGGGAACGGCTAGATCATTCCGAATATCAGCATATGCAACAGCACCAGTCCCCACAAAGTATAATGTTCGACGAGATGACAGTTCAGGAGACGAAAGCATGTCCTCATGATACAAGAGAACAATGCCTCCACACAACCACAGGTTGTATATGAGTCAGATAATCAAAATGGAATATAAAAACGAGGCAACCATGCCCAACAAGTCATTCATATATTTCCATTTGAGAGGCAAGCAACGGTATACAACAAAAAAAAAGTCGGTCGACAAATCAATTCTTCAGGGGCATTGACAAGAATCTATTAAAAATACATATTTATAAAGCATCTTCTGGAAAGACCCAACAATCAAAAGCTCAATAATTTCAGATTTTTTGAGCTTTAGTAAAGGAATTATACAGTAGTCAGGTTAATTAGTGTTTTTTTTCTACAACCTACACTTTGAAAATAGGTTTGCTTCCTCCTATTCCATGTAAAATTATTATTAATTTTATTCTACCAAAATATCTTAATAAATGAAGCATGATTTGTTACAATTTGTACAATATTATCCTAAAGTTGTTCATAAAGAAGTGCAATTTATGAACAATGATTGATTGATGGTATTTAAAGAAGTGCACACCACATGTTTGTGAAAATGACTGAATGAGCAGTGAATCAAAAGATATGAAAGTAACCATAATAAAGTTGAAAATTTTGCATTCTGAGATCAGACACCTGTAAATTTCAACCCAGAAAATTAAAGTTAAACGTTAATTAAGGAAATTTAGGCTAAAATGCATACCTAAATAGCGACGGAAACTGCGGAATTTGCCGGTGACAGTTGGATCCGATTAGCGGGAGCTTTCAAATACAACTTCTTTTTGAACTCTGTTTGGATTTTCGAAGAGAAACTGGAAAATTTAGGCTTTGTATACTCAAATTAAGTGGTTGGGTTTGGAAAAGAAAGATTTCACTTTGATTGGCTTTCTAGGTATGAATTGATGAAGCCTTTTATGTCATTAACGAAATTCCATTTATTTTGGGATTACATTCTACATGCATTGATGCATAAGGGAATGAGATCACCCTCTCGTGGAGAGTGCACCTATAGTCCTAAACTTAGGCATACCGGAGAGCAGTGGTATCAAAATCACACCCGACTCGACCCAATTCAAAACCGACTCGAAAAATATCTTTATATCCGATTCAGATTTTGACTCGTGTATACACAATAATTTAACACGACTCAAATTTAAAAATAAACCCGACCTTACTGAACTAGATACAAACATCCGAATTAACACCTTTACCCGAGTGCATATACAGATGTTCTGATGACTGTGGGGAGTCTATCAAAAACATTTTTGTTGATTGGTATTGTACTATAGTTACTGAGTAATTTCTTTTTTTTTTCTTTTTTTTCTTTTTTTCTTTCAGTTTATTACATTTAAAGTATAGAATACCATGTATAATTTTTGGGAGAAAAATGAAAAGAGGAAGAATTATTTTTTAGCAAAATTAAGTTCAGGCAATTAGTAGGTTTATCCAATTATTAGGAATAATGAGCCCAACAACCTTGTGGACTTGCTTGATTCTTGAATTACTCATAAAATTTAGCATATGCTACTATAATGAATAAGTTATTAAATGGACCCAAAAACACCTAGCATGATTTTCATGTGTTAATGCACGACGCACACACACCAGTGAAGGAGGCGTATATCTTCCATGCACTAACGCATGAAGATTGAAGACATTGTGGTCCAATTTGCACAATATAATTCTATCACATACCCAAATCGCCCAAATTCACAATGTAATGTGCACCTACGAACACATACACATTGCTTGAGTTCGAGGGTGAGACGGACATGAGCTAGTAGATGCGCAAGTTTTCATTAATCTTAGTTTACCATTTTTGCTTGATAAGTTGATAGTACACCGTACTCTTTTCACAATGCCCCTATTTGTCTTCGTGTCATGGTCCGAGAGTTTTGACACTGGATCGTGCGACGCGCACTTGTCTATTGACGACAAGGACGCAAGCCTAGAGCGAAAGGGGTTCGTGGCACACAGCAGCACGGACCAAAGGTATCTCAACGAAGCACTCGTCAACAACGAGTGCTGAGTCGGGGCTTTATTTCGAAGCGGGCACAAGCGGGACTGACAATAAGGAAGGCGTCTTTTGAGGTTCTCTTGGTTTGGTGGGGAGGCTTTAAAACAAGGCAAGCACAATATTTATAAAGGCTTAAATCAACACACAAGTCTTAAAGCAAAGGCAACCCGGATAGGAGGTTTCATTCATTCAACCATTCGCCCCATAAAGAGCTTTATATTGATTACATGGATAAATACTAGTGAACGCTGGAACTACAGTAACACAATAATTTCCCCTAGAGCCTAGAAAGCAAAAAGAAAGACGTAGAAGACACTACATAAGGAAAATACAAGGAAAAAGAAAGGGGGATACATAGAGAAAGAGGCGGATTTATCAAGGTAGTTGTCCAAGGGTGTAGTCGTCCAAGGGTGTTGCTGAAGATCACAATGTCGTCCAAGTAAACGACCACAAATTTATCAAGGTAGTCGTGGAATACTTGATTCATCAAGGTGCAGAATGTTGCAGGCGCGTTGGTTAGCCCAAACGGCATGACCAACCACTCAAACGCGCCATATCTGGTGACGCAGGCCGTCTTTGGTTCATCGCCCTGAGCAATTCGAACTTGATGGTAGCCAGACCTTAGATCAAGCTTTGTGAAGTACACAGCGTCCCCCAGCTGATCGAACAAGTCTGCCACCAACGGTATTGGATAGTGATTTCTCACTGTCAGCTTGTTTAGGGCTCTATAGTCGATGCAAAATCTCAAACCCCCATCTTGTTTCTTCTGGAAGAGGACTGGTGCCCCATAGGGAGCTCTAGAGGGTCGGATAAAGCCAGCTTCCAACAACCCGTCTAGCTGCTTACGCAGTTCTGCGAGTTCCGGAGGGGCCATCCGATAGGGGCTTCGCGCGGGTGGTCTAGCGCCTGGCACCAGTTCGATGCTGTGATCTATGGCCCTTCGAGGAGGAAAAGATTTTGGGAGCTCCTTAGGAAGGATGTCTGCATATTCCCCAAGTAACTCTCCTATCACTTCCAGGATATCAGCTTCGACTTCCTCATCTTTCATCGAGAGAATGGCGAGGAACGTGGGTTCATTTCTCCTCATCCCCTTCTTGAGTTGCATTGCTGATAGCATGGGGCCTTTCAACTCTTTCCTTTTTTCAGGCTGAGCGTGTGTCCGTAGGAGGCATGGTTGGTGGCTTGTCACAAGTAAGGACCCTAGGTGGGGCATCGGAACAGCCTTGCTGGTGTGCAGGAATCCATCCCAAGGACCAGTTCAAAATCGTCCATGGTTGCCACCGTAAAGTCCAGACCCCCACTCCATTCCCCAATCCTTGTATTCACATTCTTTGCCACGCCACAAGTTGGTTGTGCTTCGGAGTTCACCGCTTTCATGCGACCACCACTATGCACGACTCTCAACCCTAACCTGTTTGCCTCGCGCTTCGTGATGAAATTATGAGTGGCCCCTGTATCAACCATCGCCCGAGCCTTCTTCCTGTTTATCCAGACATCTACGTACATCAGGCTGGTAGCCCGACCCTTATCTTCCGACGTTTCTTTTCCCATAGCGTACATGCAATACACTGCCCCCAACTTAGAGGGTTCTTCTTCGCTTCCCACATCCTCCTCTTTGTCATCTCCTTTATGAGGGTCAGAGGACATTGAGGAGAGTTTCTTCTAGAGGTTGTCTATTTCTGACTTATGCTGGCACTCAAACCATTTGTGCGGCCCTCGACAAAGTATACAGGTGAGGGGTTTGTTCCATGATGATGATGAGCCTGAGGACCCACCTCTGTTTGTAGATGCGGTGAAGACATTCTTCCGCGAGTCTTCTCCCCCATTCCTGAACCTATTCCCCACACTGTTCGAGCTAACCCGAGAATTACCACTAGTGCTCCTTGGGGTGCTTGATGTTGACCCACTATTTCCCTTCTTCTGGATGGGTGCTTTGTCTGACGAGTAATCCATCAACCTTTCAGCTGTAGCTATAGCACCCGATAAGGTATCAATTTTCTGGCGCCATATCTCCCCTTGAGCCCAATCTTTCAGACCTCGCACAAAGTTGAATAGGCGATCCTTCTCTGACATGTCATGAATCTCTAACATGCACGCCGAATATTCCTTCACATACTCCCGAATAGAGGTCTTATGTTGCAGGTTTGCAAGTTTGGTGCAAGCGACAAACTCAGTATTCTCGGGGTAAAATTGAGCCATCAGCTCTTTCTTTAGATCCTCCCAAGTGTCTACCAACGTTCTCTTAGCTTGAATATCGGCGTACTTGGTGCGCCACCAAAGCTTAGCATTGTCCACTAAGTACATCGTTGCAGTATCAACCTTCAGTTCATCCTCCAACCGACATATACGGAAGTATTCCATGTCGAAGATGAAGTTGTCAACCTCCTTCGAGTCTCTCGTGCCATTAAAGGTCCGAGGTTTAGGAGGTTTTATTTTAGTACCTCCATTATCCCCGCGCCCTCTTTGGGCACGCATCAAGGTGGCACATTTGTCTTGTGCCTCATCAGCTAAGCCTTGCACAAAGTTAAGCTGCTCCGTCAACCCATCCACCGTCGACTCGAGCCTCTCCATTTGCTCGGCTTGCTTTATTACAATATCCTCGAGCTTGGGCATCCTTTCTTCCAGCATAGCCCAGTGTTCTGACTTGCCTTCAAGCCAAGCAAGTCTTTCTTCCAACGTATAGCACATCTTCGTTCGGCATATCTCGAGCAACCTGGCTCTGATACCAACTGTCACGGTCCGAGAGTTTTGACACTGGATCATGCGGCGCGCACTTTGGCTGTCAGTGACTACATATTTAATTCTCAACCATGGTAACTTCAAATTACTTCAAGTACGGAGTATTCATCTTTTGTTTGCACAAATGCACAATCCCGCGCTATGGAGTAATAAATTGCACATACCCTACAAAATTCTATGTAAAGGAAAGGAAGGAAAACTAAGACTATGATACGTAGATGCTCTATCATATACATTCACATACAAAAGGCTCCTACACAAGATTTTGAGCCGTGAACAGTTGTTAATCATCCAACTACCATGAAATCCCTCACTATCCTACAAGGTCTGAGGGGAAAGGAGGAAGAAGCTACGCCCATTAATAAAATAGAGCATATCTTTGCCCACGCCCTTTGAATAAAGTTGACACTTTTAATGAACAA